CACAAGCATGTTTAATGTATGCTACGCACATCGTCATTGTTGCTACCTGTATTATTCCTCCTATGATAATCGTTGAGCCCGAATGCAAGATAATTATATAATAATAATTTTCTCGGCCGACAAAGTGCTTAGGTATAATCATCTGTATCAGACGATTTAGTGTTGGATGATATTCATTTATGCGGAGGACAGTATCAAAAATATACAGTACAAATGGAAATAAAACAATAGAAATTATGTTGCACACATTAAGCCCTAAAAATAGTTAAAAAATAATTATATAAATTGTTGTGTTTTTTGTCCAAAAAATTGTATCCTTAAATGGTATAAGTACATTTCAAAATTTATTGCCCTTTTACCACTTTCCTTCCGAGTATTAATGCTAAATTAATCCTAATTTTTAAAATACTAATTGTTCTAGTAAAGTATATATATAATGGAAAAAAGTATTTTTATTATATTTTTACAGAATGCAAAATTTAATTATAAAATGATATTATTATACAATGAAAAGCACATATAAACAAATATATATATATACACCATATATGTTTATTTATTTATATGTGCTTCTCATTGTATATAATAATATAATTTTATAATTAAAAATTTTGCATTCTGTTAGAATATAATACTTAAATATTTTAATTAAATACTCATGTGGTTAACCAGGCTAATAATTCAATAACTTTAATTTATTTACAACAAATGTACTAGAGATGTCAATATATATTTTCTTACATATAAGTAGAGTTGTATAACGTCTCGAATTGTCCCCGCACTTCTTCATGATATCGATTTCTTTTTCGTCTTTTAGCTCGTTACAGATTCGCTGAAGTTGCTCCAATGACCATTTCATCTATACAGCATCAAAAATAGTTTTCGATATTCGACTTATTGTATAAATATTGTAAAGAATTTACGTACACAAACCAATTTATCGACATTATTTATCTAGTTAAATACATTAAAAGATCAACTTACAGTTTGTCTGTTAATTCGAAAAGAGTTGTATTCGATCACGTACATACAAAAAAATAATGCGAAAGAGAAAACCTTAAGGATAAGATCAATAGTGCAGTCTGCAGAAATAAATACTGCAAGCTATAATTAATAAATGTTTTTGAAAAATAACTTTTAATAATTACAGTAAAGTGTAGATATTTAATTTCACTATGTGTATATTTAGGTATATATTAATAAAAATAAAATATAAATATTTTAAAAATTTTTGAAAATAAGTGTTACATATATATATAAAATAGCCATAAGAAAGAATATGATGAGAAATGTGGACCTACTTGAGACACAACACCACTAATCAGAATACTAAAGCAGAAGATTATCTGAAGCTGAACTAATTTCGAACACTGATAAGGCCATAAGCCAATTAATAGTAAAATAATCCGATTCAAACTGAAGTGCTGTGTCACAATATACATCATCACTCTGTAAGAAACGTATCGCGTTTGACTGCGAAAAAGTTGGTGAAGAATAGTATATTTTCTTTTTATGAAGAGTCAATGACTTTTAAAACTCTTTTATTTCTCTAATAAAAATTCTAACATAAAATTGCTTAGGGTTGCAAACGTAAGGTAATTTAAAAAGAAAATACTACCGTGAGAATCGAAACACACAAATTTCATGTTTTTGCTTGGTGAAAAAGAATAGACGATTAAACTCGATCGATTTAATGCCGAGAGAAATTTAACAGATGTCCATTTCCCACAGAAAAATACAAGACAACTTTTCGTTTGAAACTCACGCAAACGCATGTTTCGCTCTCTTTCAACATCGCGGTTACATATTGCTCATTGTGATATGTGCATTGGTAAGATACGTTTGATGGAAGTGCCATGTGTTATTGCGCCGATATATCCGCACTATAAAATTGCAACCGGTAAAGTACAAAATATACTGAATGTTAATATTTACCTACTATAAATCTCGAAAACAACCTTGGATCATAAATTAAAGCACTTATTTTCTTACATTCTACCTGAGTACGTTTACCTATTATACTCTAAGAAATTGTTTATGCTTTCAATGAATCAATTTTTGCTACTGTCAATAACATATTTTTCTCGCTCGCATATTAACGGGGACGCTAATTCAAAATATGTTCAACGGTGACTATAAGATAATTGAAAAAAATATAAAATTTAGTTTCGCGAGCCATCCTGATCAGATTATTTTCTTAATAAAAACAATAACAGGTTAGAGGGGAAGTTTCAGATGAAGCGATTATTTACATACGCCAAAGAAGTTGCACATCCTGGATGCATTTCAGCACTTTCTATTTAGAAGCGCTCATCATGCTGAAATAATAACTAATTGATATATTGTATTTTAATTATGAGGATTTTGATTTAATTGAATTTCACGTTCCAAGTTTCACGTTGTCAGTATTCCGCTGTTTTTGCAATATAAAATAATAACATTTAAAAATCATAAATGACACATATTTACTACAATACTAGACGCACTCTTGAAACACAGCGAGTATACTTTCGAGCAGTGTCTTTTATCAGTTCCCTCTGATAAAAGCCACGCGTTTGCTCAATATATCACTTCCGTGAAATGCTCCTGTGGATTACGACAGTGATACTTGGACTCTTGCCTTTCGCAGGTCAGACACGGGTCTCACAAACAGAAAAACCTTCGAGTATCGCATGTACCTCTTGCGAGGACGTTCATATTTCTCTTTTCTTCCTTCGTTATTCCACGATAGCGCGTCGCTTTCCACGGTGTGGGTATTTCCGTACCCGCGAATCGCGAAATGTGCCTTCGAGAGAGACGACGGACAACGCGTCTCCGATACGGGAAAAAAAGTGAAAGCGTCATATCGAGAGAGGAAAAAAAACATCCGGCAATCCCAAAGAGATAGAAGCGGCAGCGAGTTTCCGGAAGAAAAAACGTCATAATCGTGAGAAGAGAGAGAAAAAGGTGGAGCAGAGTCGGAAAGAGAATGAAACCACCATGCCAAGGAAAAAGTCGCACAGTCGTAAAAAGAGATTAAAAAATATGTAGCGAGTCTCACGTTGATGAGGGCAGACGGCGTAGCGGAATTAGAAAGAAAGTAAAAGTGTCACGCTTAAAAGAAACTTTGTTGTCACGAATTAAAACATCAAAATATGCATTAGAATCCGCTTCATGATCACAAAATAATAAAAAAAAGATGTAGGATCGAAGAGAGAAAGAAGAGAAGGTGAAAAAAAAACAAGAGAGGGGAAAAAATAAAGGATAGGATCTGCTCGATTTTTCCAATATGTATCAATCTCTTTCTGTCAATCTATGAGATTTGTTATTTAAACGGTAATTAAAAACACAAACAAATAAAAGAATATATATGTATAAAGGAAAAATTCTTTCTTTTGAAACGACATATCTTTTTCTTTATTTTCGACTCTGAAGATAGGTCCATTCCGAGCGCGAGCGTCCGGTGAGTTTGCAGCTGCGAGTGGATGGTACGTGTTGGCGTGTTGGGAAAAGATGGAAAGGCGGAAAGAGATTGGTGAAAGGGGAGAGAATTGACAGGGAGGAAGGAAAAACGAGAAAGAGCATGGCAACGCGGCCGTCGGCGTTGTCGTCAGCCACGATTAAAATGTAAAGGGATTCGTGCCGCGCAGCCAATTTATATGCGTCTGGCTACTCTGGCTGGGCCCGTTCTGAAATCGGCCGGGTATCCGCCACCATCGTTTCCCTTTTCCTTCCCCTCGAGCTTCCCCTCCTCTTAATGTTTTCCGACACCCATTCCGAATTATTCGCGTCCGTGCTTCTTTACATTCGATCAATTCGGCTCTTTGTCGAAACGTAAAACGATTCCGTCGACGCCTCGCTTCGCCTCGCGGACCTTTGGATTGGGATCAACCATAATCTGACGCGCGATGCCAAGATAGGCTGGATAAAGCAGTGCGCAGCGCGACAGCGCGTAAAATTTGGAACCTATCCCAGATTTTAACGAGATATTGAAACTATGAGAAACGAGATAAACGCGCAGTGGATTTCGGGCTTTCGCAAATTTATTCTCTTTCACGCCGCTTTTTTGGGGAGCTTGTTTGCATATCTTCCTCTGCTTTCGAAAAAGATATACTAATTCAGTGCTCCGTGTATTAACGTATACAAACATATAGCGTACACGAACACACGTAATTAAGAGAGGTTAAATATATTTTTAATTTTTATAAAAAAATATATATAAAAAAAAAATAAAAATTTAATGCTTTTGAGATAAATCATCTCTCTAGTAAATATAATATTTTATGCTAGTATTTTACACATAGTGTATATTTCTGCACGTATTATGTACCCCCAAAAGATTTTCCGTCTCACGAAAGATTAACGTCAGTTTCGCTTGTAAGTTTCACTTTGTATTCACGGCTAGGTGGTAAACTTTATGTCATCGTAAACAAAATATTTTCATGTCGTATACAGAAGGAAGATAAAACAAGCTGGTGAAGCTTTTACGAACAAGCAAAAACACCGTTACGCGTTACAAGTTTATTTTAAATATTTATCTATTGTCAGCTTTGCCAAAGAAACTCACCGAATTATAAAGTTAATTATATTGACTTAGCGAGTTTCTTTAACAAGTCGACAATACAAACTTTCAAAGCAAGTTTTCTTCGATTTACTAAGCAAGTGCTTTGTTTCATTGTAACACGATATGCTGGCTGCATTTTCCACTGTACGAAGAGAAATGAGATCCGCGTTTTTTGGCAAAGATCTTCTTTTCCTTCTTATATTTTCTAGCTAGAAGCGTCGGGAATATTCGGTAAAATCAATCGAGTACAGAAAAATAAACTTTTACGTGAAAAAATAATTTAAGAAAAGATATAAAATAGATACAAAGAACTCAATAATATAATAATAATAATATAATATAATAATGGCGCTTAATTACATTAAAATCGAATAATTCATAATGCTATAAAAAAATTTTTTTTCCTTAACTTTAATTT